GCTCACGTTTTCTCGAACGCATAGTACGAGCGAAATGATTGTTTTCATTATCGTACATAACCATTCTAAAGCATCGAATCTTCTTTAATGTTTGAAAGGCAGAAGACTAATACATTATATTTAAGCTTAACAAATATGTTTTTATGCACTACTGAATTGTCAGTTTATGAACCTTCTGCAGCATTTAGTTATACTGACTGTGCCTACATCCCATCAAATTTTGGATGTCTCGGAAGAAGTGTGTAAATTATTAACGTAGCCTATGTTCAAAGTATTCTTCCAAAAGACTTATTATGAAATATATTTCATGCAATAGGTTAGACTGTCATCCACGAACGCTAGTTAAAATGATAATGTCTGATATGCTTTTCTCACATTCTGTATCACAGGGTTCATTTGATACGTGATGCATTTAAATATTGTTACGGTATAACCTGTGGTATTTTATTGCATTGTATAGCTATGCTACGTCTGAATTGCTCCTTAGTGTAAGAGATTTGAAATATGATCTTTTCTCTTGTACGCTACTATTATTTATTATATTTACGGTAGTTTACCGTGGTATGCTTTTGTGTATTACGAAAATTTCCGGTCCATTTTTGCGCGATGCAATACACTAGGGCAGGTAGCAGACTATAATTTAATACGGTTAACCCATTGGGTTTATTTTGAACTGCATTGTGAAGGATTTGCGCTGTTGAACTGCGTTCCACAGTACAAATAGTGCACGCATCCCTCGACTTCTGGATTAATTTGACCATTTTCCGTATCATAAGCATTGCTGTATCATTGTTAGTAGATCAGTATGAAACTGTTTATTTTATTTGGTATTTAGTCAAATGTTCTGAAACGTTCACAAAAATGAAAACCTGCAATTCGAAGGAGAGAAACGACGTTCTACCCTTCACTGTGAACTCCTCCCTCACCACAGCCAGTTGCGTGGGCGACGGCGTTATGCCGGCAGGGTCTTTCGAAGTTGTGCTTCTGGTGGACATGTCGGAGACGAAGGCGGGAAGCGGTAATGGCGCTTTGAGCAAGAACTCGCGTTCGAGGCTGCGGCGGGAGATTGAGGGCGCCGGGGTGTTGTTCGAGGAGCGCGACCTGCACCTCGGCGACTATTTGTGGGTGGCCCGAAGTCGAAACGATGTTGGGTTCGAACTCGTGTTGGACGTAATCGTGGAACGAAAACGTTGCGACGATTTGGTCAAAAGCATAATGGAAAAAGAAGCCAGGTACTTCGAGGAAGCTTTTGAAGTCAAACTGCATCTTTCAGTTTAAAGAAAGATTTGAAAACAATTCAAAACCATTCTATTATACGCAGCGTAATATGGGACCTATCGAGTGGTAGTCTGATACGAAATTTGCTGCATATCTGACGGGCCTTTTACACGATAGAGGAAGTGATACTTTCCGTTTCTTGTGAAGGTCGTCGGCAGGAGGTGGTTCGTTTGAAGCTGAAAGGCCCTGCGTAAAACAAAACATTTTGTGCTTTTTCCTATATATGACTTCGAGTGCATGATCAAAATGCTCAGTTTAAAAGTTCATTAAATTAAAATAAATGTACATTGGACTTCTTGCTACTGTTAAACTTTACAGAGGACGACAAATCAGTGCAGTGTTTATCTCAAGTTTATTTTCAGATTCAGGAAGTAGAAAGTATAAAAATTCAAGAAAATATTTGGAAACAATTCATTCATATGCCGTTGCTGGTAGGTTTGAGAAGTGAACGATTTACTGCACGCTGTAGAAACTGTCGTTACGTCTGCATCAGAATACTTTGCATAAGGCGGTTGTAAGGAGAGGGTAATATTTAAGCGTACGGCGTTTGTCAAGGCCTCTACATTCCTGATTTTGTGAAGGAACACTAATAGTTGCCCAGTTCAAGATTTGTTTCACCTCATATGTCATAGCTAAGATCATGTGAAAATGATAGCAGATCACCATTAAAACGTTTCATTTAACTTTGGGAAAAGCGTCATTGAGGGCGGCAGATGGAATCTGCTTGTTCTTATGCTGTCCATGCTGAATGTATGGGTTGAACCGAAGAACGATGTAAAATTCTCTCCCCGTCGCCGTTAACCTCATAGTCGCTGAGCAACAAACTCGCTTTATGGTCTGCCGGTACAGCAGCCAAGGAGCAGATAGTTGTTCTTGACTTGGAAACGACCTTTTGAGTGTCCCATTATCATGTACTTGTGCCGAGGTTACGATTGCCCGGTTACTGACGTTTCATCACCGCATTGTTTATCCCCTGATTTGAAAAAGAAATATTCAGATGCCCTCAGATTGTCTGATTGGAGGAGGAACCAGGCTGCTACACGAATCTACTAAAGGTGCTGCCATTGCCATGCAGACGGAAACCGATTGTCAGTCATGAATAAACAAATGAGTAGAAAAACGAGCAAATGATTCGGTGAACGGATGGATGAATGAAAAACAAATAAATGCATGAAGAAAAAGAGGAAACTGATAGGAAGAAAGAATGGGTCGAATAAATTAACTGAAAAATGAACATGTAGGTAATTGAATGAATAAGTGAGGCTAGTGAATGAAAAGATGAATGAATGAATGAATGAATGAATCAATGATGGAAATGATTCATAACTGAATGGAGGCAGATGGAATGAATCAATCATTCAGTGGAGGAATGAGTCAATAAATGAATGAAAGTTGCAATTTCGGAATAAAAAAGGTAGGAAAGAAGAAATGCATTTTAAATACATGACAGATTGAATGTATGGATGAACGAAGGTTTAA